TGCTATGGCTCCAGTGAAGGCACACACCAATTTGAGAGTGTGAAATGAGCCATTACAAGGTGTGCTGCTCAAGGCTGTGCAACTCTTACAGACTAAGCAAAAATAAGATCAGCATGCCAAGACATGTCAGCTGTATTCCTTTAATTTCTCATATCAACTTATTCAAAGCGTTTTTGAACATTTATCTCATTTATCAAATGCGTGTATGGATCAGATCATGAACCCAAATTTATGTTACTGCTGGCGTTCCAATGTAGAAAGCAAAATCCAGTTTTGTAGGAAAATTTTTAGTCCATGCAGTGCAAAATAATTTTCACGGTCCAAAAATTCAGGGGCAATTTTGATTGTATGTCATATTCGATTATTGATCTCCTTGATTAATTTGTTTTGCGAATCACAAAGACTGTATGAATGTGCCATAGGCTTTGCAATATTGTGGCTGTTAGCCAAGTATGGGAGATTTAAGGCGGAAATGTAATACATCGTAGAATAAAATAGAATAGAATCCTTTGTTGTCCCAGGAGAAATTCAGGTATAAATCTTGACTGCATATGAATAATTTCCCATTACTCTTGGCGGTGTTGTTTGTGGCTATTGGCACCTTTAATTGAGAGAGTGCAGGTGCCTGCATCTGAGAACACGCCACTGGCTTGGATCACCTGGGAAACATCTGCCCTATGCATCTAAGAATGCTTGTAACATAACATAATTTCCCCCTTTGCAGTTTTTCACAGTATTGATCTAGAGTTTAAAAAAAAAATAGATGACAGCTTTCAGCTGAAGGTTGATATATTTTACTGTAAAATGATGACTTAATTAAAACATACCTGTCATATGTGTCGAGCTAGGTGTTTAAATTATAGGAACAAAATACTGTGGATGACTCTGTTTCCTTTGTGTTTGACAGAGGATGTTTTCACTTTAAAGCAGTGTGTGTGTGAACTGGAACTTGTGTCAATTAATAACTCAAGTAGGCAACTTTAAGGTAGGCAACATGAAAAATGTAACTTTATGAATAATGTACAGGCTGAATTTGTAAATAGGTGGACAATCACTCACAAGGTTCAATCTAAAAGAAAGACCTTGTGCCTACATCATAGAAACATAATATAAGAGATTAAACGTACTGTGAAACGGTATATAATTGTCAAATTATTACATAAAAGATTAATTCCATAACATAGATTGTTTTTCAGTCATAGCAAATCACACTTTAAAAAACACCTTATTAATACTTGCTGTTGCGTAGAGCCGCTGATTACTGAGCTTCTGATATTTCCTGTGAGATTAGTTTTCTGATGCTTGACATTCATTTATATGTACATTAGTAAGTTCTCTGTTGCAGTTTTGTAAGCTCTTTTTCTTCTACCATATTCCCCTGATAAAATTACAAAGGTCGTGTAACCAAATGGTTCAATGCACAAAATGTTACTAAAGTTGGCAGCTTTAAAAAGAAAAGCCTTCTGTTTAAAACGTTCTTCCCTTTCTGTTTTTAGAGGCACTTTAGCTGTTTTTTATCTATGATTACAACAAGAATAAGTCAAACTAGTTATTTATTCCTTTTTTCTCTGATGGGCTCTGCATTTTAAATACAATTAAACACTAGATGGATACTGTAGTGAGTGCCTGACACCTGCTTTTACTGAGCAGATTTACAGTCTGTGAACTGAGGAAAATGTTGTTCTTTTAAGACAATGGGTCTAGATTAACTCTTGGACATTCCTAAAATTATACAGGAACAATTCAAATCAAAGATTTTCATTGCTGTACTTCATTATACCTTTCACTCTTATAAAACAGCAAACATGAATATGCTTAATTAAGTTAAAGAAGATAACTGGTGTCCCAAAATGTATTCTGACAACATTTCAGTTTGAAAACATTCAGGTGATGTATGACTCATTGCATTGGTATTCATTCATTAGGCATGTGTAAGGCATGTAAAATCTCAGGGTACATCAGTTTGGATACACATGTAGGACATGCTAATATCCCAGTTCATATAACCAGCACAATTACCTGCTCATTTGACAGGATGGAGCATACAAAGAAGCCTACTTCTATCTTCTAAAGTCGGAAGCATTTTCAAACTGATGCTTTTGAGCAAGGGGTTTCTCATCATTATGACTGTTACACACTTCCCATCCATTGTGAAGCTTTCCTTCAACCTTTGGATCAGAGCTATTGTACATGTCCAAGAAAATGTACCATTTTGACCTGCGCAGTTCTGAACTATATTGTTGTGGGTAACACACTTAATTTGGAGATAAAGATTTCCATTTCACCTTTCTAAAATATGACTAGGCATCTGTTCATGTACATATTTATTTCTTGTTTACCCTCTTTTGTTCATTTATGTGACACAAATTCTGTGATGTAGCTAATAAATTCATGACATAAAAGAGGTGGTGTTTGGTGTTGACGAACACCACCTCCATCAACCAGATTTATTAACACCTGATTGTTCATATGCTCAGATTGGCCAATAATTGGCACGTTGTTTCAGAATGCACTTGTGGAACTTGTTATAAGATTATTTATACAACCCACTCCATGCCAGATTTTGATAAATTAGATTTGCATGAATCTAACAAAGCTAAAAAAAAAAAAAAAAAACAACATATGAACTAATATTTAAAAGCACAAAACTTGGTGGTTGAGGATTAAACATTTCATCATGCTATTTTTATTTTATTACAAGACCTAGCAGTGATTTAATATTTTCACAAGGATGCATATTGTAGCCTGTATAACATAATCTCGCAGGAAAGCACAGGGCAAAGTATCTAGGTGTTTTCGGAGTAGCTCCTACTCAGAATATAAGAGCTTCATCACAACAAAGCCACACTGGCAGAATCTATCTCTGTGTTGTGCTGTCTATGTCCCATTAGAGGTTGTGTGCTGCAGTGTCATTGTTTGTTCAGACTTCGTAAATTCTCCTTCATACCTTTTCTTTGTGTCATGATGTTTTCCATCAAGGTGAAGGAAAAGTGCTCTGGGAGAGACAAACAACATTAATCTCGTCTCTTGTAGTACCATACTTTCATGTATTCTAGTCTGATTTGCTTTCTGTTTGTCTCCCCCTTCCCACCAACATTACCTCATGAGTAGTCAGTTTTAGTTATATTCATATATTCCGGATATATTCTGCTGTCTGTTTCTTCATGTTCTCACTCCATCCAAACTTTGATTCTCTTCCTTACTATCTATAAACTTTGATGTTTGTGCACTTTTTGTATTCGTTTTTTTCTTTTTTAGGTTTTGTTGGCTCTAGTGGCCTTTATTTGAAAGTAGTTTGACAGGAAAGAGGTTAATGAGAGAGGGAAGACATGCGGCAAATGTGACCAGGCTGGGAATCGAACCTGCGACCACTGCCATGAGGACTAAGGCCTCAATACACGGGTTGTGCTTTGCCTCTGCGCCACCACAGCACCCCTTTTATATTAAAAATTTTAATATTGAATTTCATAAACACTCATATAAATTGTCTACTTACTTGCATCTCCAGTGTAGACAATTGGTGCACTGTATATTCTAAGAAAATTGCCCCTACAGCTATTGTGGCAAAAAAAAAAAAAAAAAAAAATGGACGTTTGTTTCATAAACCTTTCAAAAGTTTAGTGTTCTTTCTGATTAATGAGATGTGAGCTGACATCAGGCCAGATTAAGCTCTTGCTTAAGCTGCAGAGGTTAAGCTAAGAAATCTTAAATATCATTTGCAAAAGCAGAATATCTCACATCCACATACCAAGACTGTAATATTATTCTAATTTAAATGTGACAGTAAAATGAAAACAGGAAATTGTTTAGTACTTTGGAAAAAGGGTGAAGAAAGCACTGATATTTTAAATTAAAAAGTAATCCATAACATTGAATAAATAAAAATTAGTTTACATTATTTAGGATAATCAAAATTAATTTCTAGTAGGGTTTTTGCGACTGTAGGTGAAATTACAGTAAGCAATACTGTTAATTTTTTACGGCAAGTTTAAGTATTTTCAGTACCATGCAGTTTTGGTTATGCTCTTTACATTCATACCCATGTTGCACCAATTTTTTCTTGCATTAGTGATGTTTTGTGCCTGATTTAAAGAGGAATTATTTAAAATAATTTTTGAGATATACTGAAAGGAAACTAAGCTGCGTTACTTCATCACTATGCTATGTCAAGCTATTAGGATGACTGCAGCATTAATTTGCTCAGATTTATTTGGGTTTGATCAATGATTGAAATCAGCCATATTTCCAACAGCTGGCCAAAGCAGGGACTAGAATGTTCAATAAAAAGAATCAATGTGGAATTTATCTAGGTCTATGTAAGATTTTTGAAGCTTATAATTATTTTTCTCTTACCATTTATCAAAAACATTGACATGCGAAAAAGAGAAACAAACTCAATAACACAGTATGGTTTAGTGCTTTCTCACACCTGGAAGCATATCTGCATGCTTTTTGTTTTGAATTCTGATCCATTGTAAAGGGTGAGAACACTGTAAAAGATAATCCACCTTTTTCTATGAATGAGAAGTTATTTAATACAGTAATGACAAAAGGACATACAGTGCAACGTTTTGTTTGTAAAAGTTACCTGTGAATTATTATTATTATTATTATTATTATTATTATTATTATTATTATTATTATTATTATTATTATTATTATTATTATTTTTGTAGTCGACTGTAAGTATTTTAAGGTTTGATACAGATAATTACGTTATTGTTTTACACCCATGCTGAATCGATATTCGAATTCAACGGAGACGTGGACTCGTGGCATTTTATTCTTGAAAATCAAATAAACTTTTTTTCATTTATCTATTTTATCGTTTAACTCAAAATCTTTTTTTTTTTTTTTTTTTTTGTTTGTTTGCAAAGTGATATCTTTTACAGCGTCTGGATTGAGCCGCTCCTCCATTTCCACCTACCCTCCACCAACTCCTGCCTAATCCCCATCACCATTGGTTTATTTTTCACGTCAGTCAAAGCAGTGTGGGCGGAACTCAAACAATCCACTCGTGCTCCTAGCACTGTGGACCGTGCGCCACGGCAGACCAAGACCAGTGCAGACAAATGTAGAGGAACGGTAACGTTTATCCTGCTACCAGTGGAGCATTCTTATCAGCGCTTGCGGTCTAACGCTCCTTTTAAAAAAAAAATATATATATATTTCATAGTTCCTCTTACTGAGCGCACTCATCAGTAGTGCATCCCCGACAACATTAGTGCTTTTTTTTTATTTTATTTTATTTTAGAGGAGCGAGAATTTATATCACAAGCAAAACAGCCTTGGGATTGTAGACTGGGCTGTGTTAACCCCGTTTCCCAGACACGCACAAAAGCCACGCTCCTGCAGGTCCACCTGGATAAGCTGAGGAAGCCGTCCGGTCTCGGTTAGAGGTCCAGGAGGGAGACGGAGTGGAGAAATTAGCGCGGAAGACGGGAGCAACAAAGAAACAGGCAGGATGAACCTCAAGAGTAATTTGATTTTCACTCTCTACACTATTTATGGGATTCTACTGAAAGGTGAGTCTGGGGCGCGTGGTGAGTGCGTGGAGTGTATGTGCGCATCAGGTTTTCATGTGTGCGTGTGTATGCTTCTGGCCAACTGTGATCGGAGGATAAAGAGGGGGCAAAGCGCGCTGCCACACGCGGGTCCTGGCAGACCGGTGATGAGCCTTGTCTCTCACACACACACACACACGCGCGCGCGCACGTGCGCGCGCGCAGGAACGCACCGTGTGTTTTTTTTTTCTTTTTCTTTTTCTTTCATTGAAAACACACACGTGTCTGTAGACCTTAGAGATGCAGCACAGCCAGAGGACAGCTAATGTCCCGTCACGTTTTGAAGTCCGTTCATATTCGGGATGTTGATGCGTGCATAATTGAACAAACAGAACCCCTGGAAACTGACGTGCCGGACAGGGCGTTTTATGCGCCTACGGTATCCTGTTATGTCCTGTGTGCAAGCTGGTAATGAAAACAGACACACCTCACAATGAAATCTCCAACCCCGCGGGTGTTTTTGACTTGCTGCTCTTAGATGAGCCCCGGAGTCACTGGAAGCCTTTTTACGCGCTCTTATCTGCTTGGATTCCTGGATTAAGGAAGAAGCTACCTTTGAAATATATTCTTATTCATGAGTGAGATTTATGTTATTTCCTTCTTGGGAACTAACACAGAGACACACTAAACTCAGTTCCATGAGACTGCTCCCTTTTCAGTCTATCCAATAGAACTGATAATAAATATGCCTCTCAGACTGAGCATCACTTAGCTCTTATTAAACATGCTGTGCTACTGTTTACTGTGTTTGAGAGCATATAAGACTTAAAGATCGAAAGGGATTTAAGGAGGATTTGCTGATATTGTGAGTGACATTCTGAACTCCCATATCCTGGTTTCAATAAGTCTTCCTATAAACAGCTCTCAGCTTTTAGAACAGCAGGTGATCCAACTGTAAACAGGAGGGGTGAAGGAAGGGCTAGGGGGGTGAGATCAGGGGGGACAAGGTCACTATTACTTATCTGCACAATTAACTTAACTTTGCATAGCTGTTCGTGAAATGGCTCAATGCCTTTTATTGTCACACTGAAACAGTGATTGATTAGATTAAATAGAGACAGAAGGATGTGAATGAAAAAGTGTGTATGTTATTGTTAGGTCTTCACAGAAATATATGTTGATTCTCTATAAATGATTGATAGGGTAACAAATTACAAGTTAGTGAACACAAACGTACATTTTTGCACCTCTATGCCTTAAAACAGTCCATATTTTATCCTTAAGTTAGTGCTGGGTGGCCTGAAAGTGTTGAAGAGGGAGCACAGAGTTCCACAATATGGTGTACCAAACAGTGTTAGAATTATTTTTTGTATAAAGGATTCTAGCCACCAAATATCCAAATATGAATATGAAGATATAGAGGCATAGAGAGATCTGGTTTCAAATTATCCACCAAACAATTAAAGTTTGGGTCCTGTCATGGACGAACAGCTATGCAGAGCATGAGATGCCAGAGGAATTGCCGGCGTAATCAAAGTTTTCTTTAGTCATGTGGAGCATAGAGTAACACAAGGCTCCCTCCCCACAACATATTCTGTGGACTGTTGGTCAGTTGGCTAAAAAAAAAGTTGGCTACACTGTTTTCTTGCTTACAAGACATATACATTTTGCTAATGTGAATTATTTCCATTTGCTAGAAACACAGAGAGGGCTCCTTCACCAGTCTTATTAAGGTAACCATGTTTTAAAGCTGTAGTTGTCAAGGAACAAGTAATTGAAACATGTAATACATTTTAGATCTTCATAGCAGTCTATAGCAAAATGACCTGGGAAATATGGATGGGAAGAAAGGTGTCGATTTTCGATCTTGGACTCGTTAACTTCACAACTTGACTTCAGATAAGTAGATGGATCCTATTAGCATGACGGGTTATAATATCCTAAGATTATGTCCCGCTTACTCCAAAATCATATCAACATGCTGAGTATTTAAGTAATTGTATAATGAATTTAGTAACATGAAAGGCATAATTATCTTCGTCTTGACTTCAACCGCTCTTCTGCATGGGAGAAAAGGGAAGCTCCATATGAGAGATCATCGGTGCTTGATTCTCTTGATCATTTGTTGTAGCCGCTTTGAAGTGTATGTGTGTGTTTGTGTGTAAAAGAGACAAAAGATCAGCCCCTTCTTTAATAACCCGACATGATTGAGGCCATTCTTGACTTAATGAAATGGTATGTAATTAGGTATCTTAGGGTGTATCTAACAGCTTCCACCGCCGTATTTATTGATGTTCACAAGCTTGTCTTCTCATTTTTACTCTCTTTATACACTTGTTAGAAGTGCATGGGTGTGTATAATTTTCTGCATGTATGCGAACATTCCTTCAAATGTGCACTCTGTTTGTATAGCTTATGTTTGAAGAGGCCGCATTGAAGACATAACAACACGCACAAAATCACGCTGGTCTCTCTGCCTCTCTTGTCTTTACCCTGAAGAGGATAATACCAGGCTGCCTGATTTGAACAGTCATCTCTTGGTGCAAGACCTATTATTGCACAGGTTCAACACAGCAGGTAGGTCAGCCTCCTTCCGAATGAGGTCTATCAAAGAAAAGACATGGCCTATCCTCGCACTCTGTAAATGACAGCTGTTTCAGCCCGTTTGGCCTTGAGCCAGCTGGCGTTGAGAGATCCAAAGGCACTAAATCTCTGTCGTAGAACAGACCTGCACTGCTATATAGCGCCAATGCGAGCTGTTGTGATGGAGGTCGTTGTTTACCAACAGCTCGAGTTGTTAACATATTATCCAGTGTGTCTCGTGTGCCCATGCCGTAGCCAGAGAAAACAGCCTGTTATGCAAATGGACTTCTTACGTAAGAGCTCAGGGCTGAGCAGCAAGCAAAGGGAGGTGGAGGCAGAGAGACACGAAGAAAGAAGTAGGGAAATGTTCAGGAATAGAGGAGTTTGATAGAAGCGTAATGTGGGAGCAGAGGTGTGGAGGAGGAATGTACAATCTTCTCAACTAGAGTGTTTGGTGTGTGTGTGAGAGAGAGCGAAGGATGTTCACTGCTTGTTTGCTCTATGGATGCTTGTTTATCGCCGCTGCTCTGTCTGTTTTCTGTCGCTTTGCCTGCTTGGCAGTCGGTCGTTCTGAACTCTGATCTTGCTAGCCTAAATACAAACTCCCGCTGAGGGATGTGTTTATCCCTGCAGTGAGACTAAGCTGGTGAAGGCTGACCCTCCATCCCTCTGTACTTCCGTCCATTCCTCCCTCGCTTCATCCTCCCATCCTGGTGTGGAGCTTTGTAGCACAGCAGCGTGGGAAAGCTACTGATAACAAGCGGCCTTGTGTGTGTGTGTAGGTGTGTGTGTGTGTGTGTGTGTGTGTGTGTGTGTGTGTCTGTGCATGTTTGCAGAGCTACTGATTACACAGTAGAAACAAGATGTTCCCTCTTTCTTGCTTACTTGCAATTCCCCTCTCTCTTTTTGTCTTTCTCTCTTTGCATCTGTCCATTTTCATAGACACCACATATGTGTCCTGCACCTTATACATGCACCACAAAGCTTTGCTGTACTGGGACTCATCTGGCTCAGTGTGCATCACACAGACATACACAGGTAGAGTTCCACTGTGGGTTCACTGCAACTCTGCCAAGGGATTTCCCATGATCAAAGCCAGTCTTTTGTTAGTCCAGGTGTTAAAAAAGTTAAAACAGAAAGGAGGAGGAGCAGGAGCCTTGAGGGGAATGTGGACGGATCCAAAGCTTACATGCTCCTCATGTCAAAGCAGAATGGCTCTAAGAAGAAAAAAAAAAAAAAAATGATAGCAGCATTGTTGCTTTATGCACAAGGTAGCTGGTCCAGCTGGGCAGATTTGCTACCAAATGCACAATTATGATGGGTTAAGACTCTTTTCCTCTTTGTAGACTTTTTGGTTTAGAGTGTAGAAGTTCAATTATAAAACAAGGCTGTGGGAATGTTTTAAGCATTTATGTATCTGAAAAACTGAAATGAAGCATTATGGACCAAAAGCAGTTAGCTTTGTGTCAGTCAGTGGTGGTTCCTCATATGGGTTACATGGATAACTGCCCAGGGCAGAATCTTATTATAGCTGTCTATAATAGCCCAATCTGCTTTTATTTAAATAAGAAAAGCATTACTTAATACATTGTTCCTGCTTAAATAATGCATTAAATTATCAGAATTATAAAAATGTTGTCTAGCACCAGTATTTCATATTTTGATGATAATAAGTACTTAACGGATATAAATGTTGACAGAATTAACTCTCAGTAAAAAATGGATTTTGAATAGAAAAGAATGATCACTTTATTTGTCCTCAAAGACAAGTAATTACTTTTGATTTTAAAATGTAAATTAATCATAGATTTGACATTTTAAGTCATCCTTAGCATTTCATATTTACTATTAACAATGTTATACAGGCTAGCATTGCTAAAATATCTGTTACATTAACCCTGAAATTACCTATAATCCACAACACAGCTGTAGCCAACGTTTATATATAGGGGCTGTAAGGGTTGGACCAATGGAAAACAAATGGGCTCCAGAAGGGATTTTCTATGTTTTACACAATACCCCATTCTAACTTTGTATAAATATTTGATTCAGGCCAATTCTGGGTTAAAAAGTGACGCTTAATGCTTCTAGGTGCGTCACAGTTTTTTACTGATATTTTCAATATTTACAAAAAATACCTATATAGGCTTCCAGTTTTTCCCAAATACAGGCTGCTTTATGTTAACCAAAGTAGTAACATACAAAAAGCCAACAGTGAAACCACACCCATCAAGTACAGATCCATCCATATGAGGACAATGTACACGTGTTGCCTGGAACGCTCCCTGATAGACAGAATTTAAAAGCAAGCAGCAGCCTGAACAGACCAAGCTCACTGTAAGACATTCAGTCTTCCTGTTGTTTGCTTAAAGTCTCTTGCAAACTGAGTGGAACGGCAAACATTTCAATGGGCCTCGGCATGTAGCTTCTTATACCTC